GCTAACCAGCCAAATTATAATCCTTGTAACTTTTTAATGTAAGAACTCACTATCCACCCATCTTAATGATGAGGAAACTGAGGCTTAGGGATATTAAGAAATTTTCTCAAAAGCACACAATTGATGGGTAATGGAGCTAGGACAGAGCCACACATTCCAACTGCACAGGATATCACCACACAGATATTCTACAGGTAACTCCAACTCAATATTTCCAAAACTGACTTCAGTGTCTTTTCTAAAAACATGACCATGCTTTTGTTGTTCTCTATCTCAGTGGATGGTTCCACTCTCACCCAGTTGTCCAAGCCAGAAAGCTGTAATTACACTGGTCCAGCCTACCATCTTCTCTCAATATTATTACTTCAGTGGTCTGTAAAACAATCTCCCTGACTTAAGTCTTAATTTTGCTCAAATCCATTGTTTATAATGTGACTATATTGCTTTTTGTAATATGTAAATATGATCATGTCACCCTTTCCTTCAAACTCTAATAGCTTCTCATTGCTCATAGGATAAATTTCAACATGACCTAGCAGGCCCTTGACCTTTCCCTCATTTTTTGTTGTAGCTGGACAGATTTTCTGGTTCCTCCAGGGTTGCAGGCTTTGTTTCCCTTTGTCTGTAGGTCTTCATGTGTGCTGTTTCTTTTACCTAGGAATGTTGGGTTCTCTTTTTTATCTTCAACCCCCATGTTTCAACTTTTACCTTCAACTCTTGAATGGACTGATCAACTCTTACTTACCTTTCAACTCTTGGTCAAAAGAATCTTTCTTTGACCCATTAAGATTGAATTTGGTGCCTTTCTCTGGACTAACACTCATCACAGCACTTATCCTTCTTAAATCTATGTACCTAATTATCTATCTTGATTTCCCACTGGATCACGAGTTTCTTGGGTATGGTGACTATGTCCTTCTTATTCATCACTTTATCTCCAGCATGTATGTTCTTTATTATGTCTGACTTCTTTCACTCAGCATAATTATTTTGAGATTCATCCATGCTGTTGAATGTTTGAATCTTCATTCCATTGTATGGACTATTACTCAGTAATAAAAATAAACATACTGTACTACAATATGGTAATCTATTCACCACTGATGGACAGGTGAGATTTTTCCCAGTTTTCAACTATAAGAAATAAAGCTGCTATTGTGAAGAGTGCTGCAATGAACATTGGGAAACAAGTATACCTTCGACTTGATGAT